GGCGGCGGCAGCGCTCCGTAGGCGCAGCGCGGCGGAGCCGGGCCGATCCGCGGCCATGGGGCACCCGCCGCTCGAGTTCAGCGACTGTTACCTGGACAGCCCCGACTTCCGCGAGCGCCTCAAGTGCTACGAGCAGGAGCTGGAGAGAACCAACAAGTTCATCAAGGAGGTGATCAAGGACGGCAACGCGCTCATCGCCGCCATCCGCGGTGAGCGGGCCGGGGCGGGGGTCCGGGCAGGGCTCGGCCGCTCACTGGGGTGTGTCCCGTTCCCTGGGCATCGCCTGCAGCCCCGTGCTGGAGCCGCTTTGGCCCCGTGCCCTGCATCGCTCCGGGGAGGGCTGGCGTTCCCCGGGTAGCGGCCAGCGCCTCCGCCASCCCCGGTGTGTCCCTGTCCCTGCGCTGCCACCCCCGGGGCCACCCGCAGCTGTCGCCACGCAGGGACAGGCCGGATCCCCCGGCCCGCTGGGCTGACACCGGCGGCGGGACCGGCCGAGCCTTGCCGGGCATCTCCCCGTTTGGGGACGGTGATCCCTGTTCGGGGAAGATGCTCCGCTATTTCGCATCTCCCAAGCGCGGGGGGAGCGTGGCGTGTCCATCGCGGGGCATCTCGTCACCCTGGGGGACCACTGTGAGCATGAGAGGGGCTCTGCAGAGCCCTGCCCCAGTCCTCCTTTTGTTGTCGGTGTACTGTCATTCTTCAAATCACGGTGAGCGTTTTTCCCTGGGAAATGTCGATTTCAATGTTTGCTTTGCGGGAGTCTCCTGTTCAGAAGTGCTGACAGATCACCGGAGCACCTGGGCCAGGTTGTGTCACCTGAAGCCACCAAGTCCCACGTGTTTGACACTTCACTGACCTTCTGGCTGCTTTGATTTGTTTTCCCTGCCCACAGCTTCATACACACCTTCCCTGTGTCTCCCACGCCTTCCTGTACTCRATGATCTGAAAGGTCTTTTCCAATCCAAATGATTCCATGATTCTCTGCTCTCATTGATGCTGTAGAATCCAGGCCCAGGCCAGCAGAGCATCCATGGGACATAGACAATCCATGCTCGTCACACACGGTTTTCCTGCCAGCTGGTTGGTTTCAGTTGGTGTTAATAGGTTTAGCTAATGCCCTTTTGTTCAGAATAATTCAGAGCTTCCTTGTTATCGAGGCYGTGGCTGGAATAGCCTGTGTTTGCCCATCTGGAAGCAGCAGAGACAAAAGCTGGTGTGCCTGWAACTGCTGACGTCACAGGGCTGTGAGACCTAACGTGGGTACAAAAACCCAAATCTCTGCRCAGTCAGGGGCAAAAAAAAACCCAACAAAATGGAATTCAGAGGGATTTAAACAAACCTGCTTGTTAAGGGAAATGCTTTTTTTTTCATCACTTTGTTCAAAACCATTTCCCTTTTCAGCATTTGTAGTGCACAGGGATGTGAGGGATTTTGCTGGGTCAGCAGACCCGGGCCAGGGAGGAAGAGCAGAAGCAGAAGAAAGCAGAGCACACCCAGACAGCACTGAGAACCCCCAGGGCTGAGAGTTTCTTGCCTAAAATGCTGTGGGGTGTTTTTGCAGCTGATCCAGCAGTCTGCCAGGGAGGTGCTGGGGCTGATCCCTCCTACACCTCCATCATCTCCCTGTGTTTGTTTAACAGATAACTTAAAAAAACAGGTATATATCTGAATCCTATCCATGTAGGGCCGTGGGTGGAAACATGGGGTACTCACTGGCTGTGGACTCCCCATAACCACCTGGCAGCTGGCAAATCCTGRTGTCTACAGGCTGACAATCCCTCTATGCCCCTTGACAGGGTGGGATCAGGATGCCTTCAGCCACTGGGATGAAAAGGTGATGGTGGTCCCTTCAGGAGAGTGAGATCCAATGAGGATAGAGGGGGAAGTACCTGAAGGGGCCTACAGRAAAGGTGGAGAGGGACTTTGGATAAGGGATGGAGGCACAGGACAACAGGGAATGGCCTCAAACTGAAAGAGAGCAGAGTTGGATGGGACCATGGGGAGAAATTCTTCCCTGTGAGGGTGGTGAGGCCCTGGCAGAGGTTGCCCAGAAAAGCTGGGCTRTCCCATCCCTGAAAGTGTCCAAGGCCAGGTTATCTGAATAAGGGGGCCCTTTAGGGGACTTTAAACTCCTCTGGCCTTTCATGGATTAAGAGAAACTTGTTCAGTTTCTTCCACCCAACTGATGTGTCACCAGCTGGAATAAATGAAATCCTGGGGTGAAGCTCTTCCAGGGGCCTGCAGCCCACCATATCCTGGTGAGGATTATCCTGCATCCAGCCCCACCAGTGGTGCCTTTGAATGTGGTATTTTCTCTGGCTGACTGACACCACCCAACAGCTAAGTACAGTCTCAACTACTAAGGGGACAAAGTATAAGGTACTGCCAAGTGGGGGAATTAAACTGACTAAAGCAGAGAAYAATATTGTCTATTTGTAACAGTCTTGGGTGTGAAAGCCAGTAATAGAACATGAAAAAGTTACTTTGAGTCAGAAATGGGAATTATTTTTGTTGTAAAGTTGGCTGCATCCCTTCTTCTTTGTGCCAGGAGTACAGAGAGTCACTGGCAGTGCCAAGTGAGGATTCTGGTCCCACACRTTGTGCTGGCAGTGCTGAAACCACCATGGCCTGTCCCTGGTCYTGGAGGGAGAGGGACTGGGAGGTGTTTGTCCCTTCAGGCTGGTGCCCATCCCCTTGGGCTGCCCAGGACCAGGGCCTGACGTGGGCATGGGATTCAGCTCCAACAGCAGCTCAGTGCCCAGAGCTCACTGTGGCCAGCACTGGTGTGACAGAGGCATGTGCTCAATGCTGCAGGGTGTAAGAAGTTGTGACTCTGTGGCATCGCTGTGGCTGTAAGAATGGCTGCTTTACAGCGGTTTGTGAGCTTCAGTGTGGGTTTCTTTAATCTCTCCTGCTCTCTGTGCTCTGCTGTGTGTATGTGATAATGCAAACCCACCTATTTCCCCTGGTCTTTGATCTTCTCTCCCCATTAAATATCAAATGGAGYTGGAGACATGTCAGATTGAGGCTTTTCTCATTAGTRCCTGTGGGCGCTGTGATGGGGAAAATTGTCCTTTGAAGTTCGAAGAGCTGTGTACTTCTCATGCAAATGTTGTGTACGTGGTTTTGCATTTGATTTCTGTCCGTCATGGAGCTCTGCAGAGTATCTGTGACTGTGCCTGGCAGTTGCCAGCCTCCTCTGTGCTGTGAGCACTTTATTCTGAAGGATAACATGAAAAAGGAATGTGTAAGGACCAGGTGGGTTTTCCCCAAGAAGCCATCATCATCATCCCTGCATGTCCCACAGCACTGTGTGTGGGAACTGGCCTGTCCCCTCAGGGAGCTCTGTGTCCCTCAGCGTGGCAGACCAGTTCTGGACAGGTTCCTGTGTTGTTGGATGTGGTGCCTGGGGATTTAATGCTGTGGGGCGTGGGAAGCAGCGTGGCATCAGAACAGGTTATTTTAATGGGATTGAAGCCACCCAGAGTAGCCTGTCTGCCCAGTTCCCCAGAAATCCATGTCCTGTTTCACGGGAAGGCTGCAGGGACAATGCAGTATATTGCAGTATCTGTTCCTGCAGTATATTTCAGCCAGATCCTCGATACTGTGTCCAACAACYCTACAGCTCCTTTGGAAAAGTGGAGAGAAGAGGCTGTAGCTGTCCAGGCAAGCATCAGCTTTGCTGGAAGGCACAGCTGGGCATTGAGTGACAGTGACARTGYCACAGTGACAATGTCCTGTCCCACAAAGACAGCTTAGCCATGAGATAGTGTGGAGCAGGGGGGAAATGACTTGCTGGAAAATAAATYGCTCTCCTCCAGCAATAACATGATCTCTTGTACTTATCGGCTCCTTGCTGGTCTTCCCTATCCTCGCTGGAGATTTCAGCCAGTGAGGGCATCAGTTACTGCTGATAATTTGTAAAATTGTCTCCTGACTTCCCAGCTCTAATTGTCTCAAGAGCCATCACACCCATAGCCAGACCCCTGCTCTCCCTGGAGCATCCGTGCCCTGTGGRCACCCTCAGCACAGGTGGGCAGGGGGGTCTCTGCAGCCAACAGCTGCTGATAAAGCTGCTCCTGGGCTGCAGGCTCTGAGCACAGGGCTAGGGCCTCAGTTGGTGCAAATCTAAACCAGACATGCTTTAAACAGAGACTAAAACACAATAGCAGAAAAAAGAACAAAAACCCTCCCAAAAGCCAACTCATCCCCAGCTGCCAGAGCTGTATCCTCAGTAMAGGCAGGAGAGACAAGGGGCCGGCACAGGATCTACCAGATCCAGCTGCGAGGCAGATCCCACCCTGTGTTCCAGGGCTTGGGCATCTGTTTGCTGTGTTTTGCTCTCCCTGGAGCAGCTCTCTGGCTGGGCAAGTTGTAGCTGTTTTGGGGGTTTGCTTTGCTGCTGGCTGAGGTGCCGGGCTGTGCACAGGATGGTTTGGCTGTACTGTGGTGTCCCCACCTCTGTGTCCCTCGCTTCCTCCCTGCTCCAGTTCCCAAGCCTCCCTTTTGGGAACCACTGGCTTGTACTGTGTACAGCTGCTCCATCCACGCTCAGGTGTGCCCAGGGCTTGGYTTGCTTTAGGAAGCACAGGGCAGGAATGTGGGCAGGGGCAGCTGGCAATGGCACCGAGTCAGCCCTGTCCCTGCCAGCTCAGGGGCTGGTGGGTGGGCTTGGGACCAGCCTTGGTCCAGCTTAAACAAACCAATGTGCAAGATTTTGTGATGGCTTTTTCCAACCCAGACATGCTTCCCAAGGACTCACTTGCATACAGCAGCACAAGGGGCCAGGACAAGAGGTGAAGTTGTTCTCCTGTGTTTAAGGATACTTTTTCTTGTRCTGCACATGAGGCACACAGGGAGCTTTTCATCCATCTTCTGCTGCCTTTTCTGGCTCTTTCCCTGGGAGGATGTGGGTGTTATCCATGTTCTGTGTGTCTCACAGCCCACAGCTCACAGCAGCGCTGCTGCTGACCTAAGAGTTTCCTCTTGAGTCACTGTATGAAGACTCAGCTTTTTCTGGCTTTTTTTCTTGAGATAGTGTTGGAATATTTTATTTCCTTATTCTGTTGGTGGCACACTGGTAACTATGGATGTGGTRTCCCATGCTTGCCCCTTGGCTTTTCACGGGTGGCTTCTGTCCTGCTGAGTGCCACCTGGCTCCGTGGAGTGACAGCTCCATTCTGCTGCAATGAGTGGCCAGGCACCTGTG